TGGAATACAGATTTTCAAAGTATGACCTGAAAATTGTCTGGATTTCTTCTGTGTCTGTTGTTATGTTCCCCCTTTTGTTTCTGATTTTGTTAATTTGCATGTTCTCTCTCTGCTTTTTCGTTAATTTGGATAAAGGTTTGTCTATCTTGTTGATTTTCTCAAACCAACTCCTTGTTGCATTGATTTTTTTTTTTTTTTTTTTGTTTTGTTTTATTGTTTTCCTGGTTTCTATTTTGTTGATTTCAGCCCTCAAGTTGATTATTTCCTGGCGTCTACTCCTGCGGGGTGAATTCGCTTCTCTCTGTTCTAAGGTTTTCAGTTGGGCTGTTAATTCTTTTATGTGACTATCCTCTGTTTTCTTCATATGGGCACTTAGTGCAATGAACTTCCCTCGTAGCACTGCTTTCAAGGTGTTCCATAAGTTCGGGTATGTTGTATCCTCATTCTCGTTGAATATTAGAAAGTCTTTAATTTCTTTCTTTATTTCTTCTTTGACCGAGGAGTGGTGCAATTGCACTTTGTTCAGTTTCCATGAGTTTGCAGGTTTTCTGCTGTTTGTGTTGTTGTTGAATTCCAATTTTAAAGCATGGTGAACCGATAAGATACAGGGGACTATTCCTATTCTCTTGTATCTGTTGAGGTTTGTTATGTCTCCTAGTATGTGGTCGATTTTAGAGAAGGTTCCATGTGGAGCAGAGAAGAAGGTATATTCTTTTGTCTTTGGATGGAATGTTCCATAGATGTCTGTTAACCCCAGTTGAGACATAACTTCTGTTAATTCTTTTGTTTCTTTGTTGAGTTTCTGATTTGTGGTCCTGTCTAGAGGTGAGAGTGGTGTATTGAAGTCTCCCACTATAAGTGTGTGTGGTTTTATATGAGCTTTGAGTTTTAGAAGTGTTTCTTTTACGAATGTGGGTGACTTTGTATTAGGGGCATAGATGTTCAGAACTGAGACTTTGTGTTGATGGATTTCTCCTGCGATGAATATGAAATGACCATCTTCATCTCTTTTGACTAATTTTGGTTTGAAGTCTAACTTGTTAGATATTAGGATAGCTACGCCTGCTTGCTTCTTATTTCCATTTGATTGGAAAATCTTTTCCCAACCCTTTACCCTGAGGTAACGTCTATCTTTGAAGCTTAGATGTGTTTCTTGTGTGCAGCAGAAGGATGGATTCTGTCTTCCTATCCATTCTGTTAGCCTGTGTCTTTTTATAGGTGAGTTAAGACCATTAATGTTGAGGGTGAGTAAGGACCATTGATTGTTGATGCTTGTTTGATTTAGGTTTGTTGTTGGCAGTGGTATTGTGAATATATTTGTTCTGCTTCACCCTAGGTTTCTGGTGTAGTTGGACTATCTGTTGCCTACATTTTTGTGGGCATAGTTACCTTCCTTGGGTTGGAGTTTTCCTTCCAATACTTTCTGTAGGGCTGGATTTGTAGATACATATTGGGAAAATCTGGTTTTGTCATTGAATATCTTGTTCTCTCCATCTATATTGAGTGAGAGTTTGCCTAGGCTGTCATCCGTGTTCTCTTAATACTTTTAGAACATCTATCCAGGACCTTCTGGCCTTGAGGGTTTCCATGGAGAAGTCAGGTGTAATTTTCATAGGTCTGCCTTTATATGTTACCTGTCCTTTTTCCTCCGCTGCTCTTAATATTATTTCTTTATTCTGTATGCTAGGTGTTTTGATTATTACATGTCGAGGGGTCTTTTTTCTTTGGTCCAGCCTCTTTGGGGTTCGGTATGCTTCTTGTACTTTAATGGGCATGTCCTTCTTCAGATTTGGAAAGTTTTCCTCGATGATTTTGTTGAATATGTTTTCGGCACCTTTAAGCTGGGCTTCCTCACCTTCCTCTATTCCTATTATTCTTAGGTTTGGCCTTTTCATGGTGTCTCACATTTCCTGGATGTTTTGTGTTAAGGATTTGTTGGATTTATGATTTTCTTTGGTCGATGAATCTATTTCTTCTAGTTTATCTTCTGCACCTGAGATTCTCTCTTCCATCTCTTGAATTCTATTGGTTATGCTTGTGTCTGTAGTTGCGGATTTTTTTGCCCAGCTTTTCAATTTCCAGCCTTCCTTCCGTTTGTGTTGCCTTTTTTTTTTCTCAATTTCAGTTTTCTAGTCTTGAACCGTTTCCTTCACCTGGTTAATTGTTTTTTTTTTTTTGGTTTTCTGTACTTTCCTTAAGGAATTTGTTCAGTTCTTCCACTTTTTTGTTTGTTTTTTCCTCCATTTCTTTAAGGGATTTTCTCACATCTTCTTTGAGGGCCTCTATCATTTTCATGATGGTGATTTTTAAGTCGTACCCTTCTGCTTCCTCTGCTTTGTCGTTGTGTTCCATTCTAGTTGGTGTAGATTCCCTAGATTTTGGTGGTGTCATGTTTGCCTTTCTGTTGTTAGGTGTTCTCTTGTATTGCCTTCTTACCATAGTTTCTTCCAGTAGGTGTTGGTGGTGTCTCTTCCCTCTCTCTATGGTCCTTCCCCGATGGGCTTATGTGGATCTGAGATTCAATATCTGTAGCTTTGTGTGGTCCAAGCTCTCTAGGAGGTTTCTCTGCAGACAGGGATCCAGGGATGGGGTCAAGGATGAGGATCCAGAAGAAGATGCCAGCAGGTACTCACAGTGGTCCTCTGGCCAATAACTCTGGCCAATAACTGGCAGAAGAGGAAGAGGGCTGAGCTGGAACTTGAGAAGGTTTTGCAGGGTAATGGGATCTCACTGGAACCTGGCGCTCGCCTGCTGAGACCTTGTTCTTTGGCAGGGGCCGGGATTAGGGGGTCAAGGATCTTGCCTGCAGGAACTCAGAGTGGTCCTGCATAGATAGGCGGATCTCTGGGAGGGACCCTGGACTCCAGTAGAGGACTGGAGGCGGGGTCAGAGACCATGCTGGAAATTACAGGTGGTCCTGCGTGTATAGTCAGGTCTCCTTTGTTCGGAGTTGCTCAGATAGGTCTCTGAAGTAGGGTGGACTGTTGGCTCCACCCTCTGTCCCAGTGCTCAACCAGAGAGGCAGGACTGTAGGTGGGGTAGGGCACAGGGTAGGGGGGGTTCCTGGAGGTGGGGATGGGTGGGGGTGTATCAGAGCTCCAAGTTTGCTCTCGATGGGGATAGGAGACAGGAGCAGCAGGATCAGGGGCCAACCCAGGGAGTTCGGGCAAGGGAGGGGGGAAAAGAGGTTGTAGGGAACAGGCAGCCCCAATTGGGCCCAGACTCACCTCTGGCCAATAGCCTGTGGAAGAGGGCGAGGGCTGGGCTGGAACTTGAGAAGGTTTTGCAGGGTAGTGGGATCTCACTGGAAACTCTCGGGTATCTCTTTTAGTTAAGTGTAGGGTATGGTTGGGAAGGGTATGGTTAGGATGGGATGTAGGTAGATTAACATATCTTCTTGTGAATTATCTTATTAATTATTAGTTATATACGACTTACATTGTTATAGACCCCTATGTTGTAACTTATGTAAAATTAAGGTTGTATTCCTTTCTCAGATAATTTGTATATTATATTTTGTCATATTGTGTAAGATCTTTCTGTTTACGATGTTTTGTGCACAAATATCTTTATCATATTCTATGTTATGTATACTTTTACATATGTTTAAGAGATTTCATATGTTGATAGAATTTAGGATTTTTTTTTATCATGTTGCACTATACAGTTCTACCTCTGGTCAAGACATTTCAATTCTACCTTTGTTTTAGAGATTTACATATATATGTATGTATATATAGTTATATTAATAAAATCATTGTCCTTGCTAAATTATTTTGGGAAGTTTCAGCCATTTGTACAGTTATGTTCCTGAGTATTATAGATTATCATCACCCATGTTTCTTATACCTATTAGATTAGTCAGATATAGATGTTTGATCTTCAACCATGTAGATGTTTGATCTTCAGTCACTTCATAGAACTGCAGAACATGGCATTTAAATGTTTTAATGTTAGTACTCCGTTGACGTGAGACACAATTGCTCCTGACAGCACTGAGCCATTCCCGAGAGTATGTTGGGCACTGATTCTGCAGTCCATCCTCTCCTCAGCTAATGGCCTCCTGGGCAAGGAACTGTCCCCACCTCTACTGCTGACTTTGGACATTCTGTCCTACTATGCTTGCAGGAACCAAACATAGAAGACTGCTGAATCTTGCCAAGTCAGGGTAAGACAGCCTTTCTCTTTCCCTGTTTCTGTGTTGGTCTGTCAGATAATCTATGCCTTAGCCAAAGCTGGTTGTTCCGACATTGCTGTGAGACTTTAGGTGACTGTCAGGGTAGCCTGCTGTTTCTGTCTTCGCTGCAGCTTTTGGAAGCTGCTTGCCTGCACTTCCTGCCTACCCTAGTATTGTTATCTTCCTTCTGAGGTCCATTGGGACATAGGGACAGACATGACCTGTGGGGTCTAGATCTGGGGTCCCCGACCCCAGCTCACCCTCTTATTTCCTGGGACATCCTTGAAGTGGGAACCTGCGGTGGACATCTGTTTCTGGTGTAAGTGATTTCTCCCAGAATAAACAACAATAAGCCTATATTGTGTCCCAGAATCGTATTTCCCATACAATAAGAGCTCTAGTTACATTTTTACCTCTCGGCTTCACCTTCTCAGGGAGGTTTTTATAAAGTTCCTCTTTCCATGAATGCTGGGTCCCTCTCCCATGGGTTTCCTTAGCACAGCTTTTGTATGCTTCTATCATCATAGGCAGTATATCCATATATCTCCCAACATTTGTAGTCTCCAACAGACTATCTTGAATGTCTTGATGTGTTTTCAGCACTTAGGATAAAAAAAAAAAAAGTAGTCATAGAAAGCCTCAGAAAGCTCTTCCCAGATACTTTTGAATGAAAGAATAATAGAGTTCCTATGCAGCCATGGCCATAACCACCTCTACTGCAGCACATTTCAGAAAGGATTGGTTTCACTGCTATCAACACAGTCAGATGAATGGTGTATAGCATCGGCTTGGAAAGTGACTGCACATCTCTTTCATCTTCCAGGCAGCAGCTGCATCCAGACTTAGCTCACTGAGAGGGGGGTGGGGAGGCAGAGAACCCAGAAGGAGTCAGGAAGGAAATAAATAAACCCTGTGTAATGGGTTTTTATTTTTGTTTTGATTTTAGTTCTTTCCACAGATTATCAGAATCCCACGAGTCACTGGGATCCTGTTACCAAATTGCCAAGATTTTAAGGAACAATTCCATAAACTTAATCATATGGCCTTTCATACTCTTTGTGCCTACAGTGATGAGTACAGAAGTCATCCATTCTCCCATTTGTTCAATTTAATTAACTTAGTAAATATCCATTCTTCTTGTGTAGCTCCACATTCTCTTTTATTGGACCCTGCACCTGATGTATGTCAGAATCCAGACTTTATCCTGTTTTTCATTGATACATGTTAGCTGCATGAGGCCACAACTCTCATTATGATTTTCCGTATGTATGTATGTATGTATGTATGTATGTAAACCATTTGCTGCCCTCTTGAACCTTCTGCCCTTGCTATTGGCCCTTTGTTTCCATATAGTTTCCCTTCTAGTTTCATGTCTTTTTTTGGGTGTGTGTGGGGGGGAACAGGTTTGTCTGTGTAGTCCTGGTTCTGTATACCAGACTTGCCTTGAACTCAGAGATCCTCCTGCCTCAGCCTCTAGAGGTTGGGATTATAGATGTGAACTACCTTCCTCACTACTGTTTTAAGTTCTAAGGAGATAGTGTATTTCTCAGTAAGTCTGGAGTAATACCCATAGCAGCACTGAGCACTGCATAGGGTCCATAGGAACCTGAGGCAGGCAGGTTCTGATTCTGGTGCCACACCGTTCTGGGAAGTTTGGGTACCAGATGAATTACAAAAAGTATGTAGGGTTTGCACTTTGGGGCTTTAGAATTGCCATGTAGAGAAGTCTATACATGGCGATATGATTGTCCTGCCTCAGCATTGTTCATCAAGTGCCTCTCTGTGACCTTCATGGCCAGAAAAATGATGAGCCTTGAGAGGCAAGAAGGCTGCTCTGCTCAACATGATTCAGTACCATTACTGATTTAGTTCAAAATTCAAGATCTGACCCTGAGTGGTTTATTTTAGGCATATTTAAGCATAGCATAGTTTGATGAAAATGGTTCTGGTGATAATTAATTCAATTCCATTTCTACAACAAAACAAATCAGATGTGATTACACGGAAAGTTTTTAAAGTCTGTAAAGATAGGTTCTATAGATTGGCAGAGAAAAATAAGCTTATGATTGGGGGAGTGTCCAGTGTCAATGCTGGAAAATTCTCTAGCCACATAATAGCACAAAGGCGACCAGCTAGAGAGTACCTCTTAACATTCCAAGTTCTCCTAGTGCTTGTCTGTGAGCACAGGACCTACATCTTCATGTCCCCAACCACACAACCTCGACTTAACCACTTAATCCATCATCCTCATTGGTTTTTCTTAGTCAGTAACATTCTCCATACCCATCTTCTGAGCAGCCTCTTTCTGCCCTGAAGGTAAGCACCTTCTTGAGCTGTCACCACCCACTGGCAGCAGCTCCCTTGTTTTTATATTACCCAGTCCTCCTTGCCTGTTGCCTCTACCTCCCATCTGGAACAGTCCTTTAATTGGCCCACAACCTCCATGTCCCTTTTTTCACCTGGAAATGTAAACAAAGTCATGTGTCTTTACACTTAGGGAATATAGAAATCTCTTCCAGGGAAACATCTCTCACTCCAGCTCTAGATCCAGCATCCCACCTTGTTAGTTTTTACAAGAGCTTATACCTTTGCTGCTTTGTGATTTGTTTATATTTGCTGCTTCTCTGGAGCCAGCATTTTGGACAGTCTTAACTCCTTTCTAGGGTCACTGGTACTTGGCCTATTGGGCCCACACTTGGTTTCTAACATGTTCTCCTGTTCTCCCTATAATTCAGCAGACATGATTCTAAGCATCATGCTCCAGGCCTTTTGACATTGGCACTGTTGCCATCTTTAGCTGAGTGATGTGTTGTAGGTAGCCCTCATGGTAAGCATCACTATAGGATATGTATCCTTAGTTTTTACTACTAGATTCTAGTAATCCTCTTCCCAACTGTGACAAGAACAAATGTCTCCAGACCTTGTCAAATGTCCCCTGGGAGCAAGGACAGTCCTCTCCAACTGAGACCCACTGATTTAGAACCTGTGGTGTTCTTTATGTTTCCACCTTGATAGCATCAATCTCCTTAATGCAGGTTGCTTTGAGTGCAATGGGCAGGTAGGTGGAGATGCTGACTCCATTCTCCTGACACTAAGTCATTTTCAAGAATCGAGTCACCACTCAACATCGTTTTGCCTGTTGGACAAGAAATTCTCTCTTGCTGTAGAGTCAGTAACTAGTTACAGCACCTTCTGATTTATTGGAAGAGACCTTAGAACCAACCAAGAAACATTGGTTAAAACAGTATGCAAATATTAAGTAGCATTCCTCACAATTTTAGTTTTATAGTTTTAGAAATTATTTAATATTTATACTGCCTGAGACTATGTTCGTTGATATTTTTCTTGGTGTTGGTTCCTGGTGGACATCCAGCCCATAATTGTGAAAATGGGGGTGCCAATGCAAGGTCTTCCAGAAGATAGTGTGAGCATCAGTGTCAGGTTCTTCACTAAAGGGGCAAAACTGTAGTGTTGGTCTGGGTGGAGGGTGTGAGAATATTCTTGATTACAGAACTTGGGTGAGTTTATAAAACTGGAACCCACAGAAGATAGAAAGAAGAAAAATAGATATCTCCATAGGTTTGATGTCAAATAGCCTAGTTCAAAATGTTTAGAGCCATGCTCACAAACTGACAGACAAAGCATGGCATGTTGGAGACCAAGCACTGGCCTGGTTGGTGATTTTAGCCTCTTCCTTCTCTTCCTCTCTGTTCAAAATAGAAGGTACTTGATACCTGAAAAATGCCATGTATACAGAAAAATATGGAGAAAAAAATAGCTTTTATCCTTTGCTCCCTTTGTCTTATATTGAGAGCTAGAGATGACATAAAATGAAAGACATACAGTGTGTCCCTCACATCCTCATGGTGTTTTCTGTTCCCATGCATAGCTTGGCTTATACATACTGACCTTATAAGTTCTCTGTGTACTTGTGTCTTGTGTTTTTGCTGTCCTAGGACAATACCACAGTATTTCTGCACATCTCTGTTGGACAGTGTTGCTCTGATATGGGTTCATGACTGTATAACTTTTAATTCTTTACTGTTGTTCATGGTGCTGGAGATACAGCCCAGTGCCATATATATATGTTAGCCAGGTACCCACCACTGCCTCACCTCTTCACCTACTCTTTCATGGTTTGTGTGGGTGTTCCTGTATGTGCAGATGTATATGGGGGTTACACATATATACGTGTGTGAAGGCCACAGGCCAACATGTTTTCAGGTGTTGTCCACCTTCTTTGCTTGCAACAGAGTCACAATGACCTGGAGGTTCCAATTAGGCTAAACTGGCTAGTCAGTGAACCCTGGGGATCCTCTTATTCCAGCTCCCTCAGGTCCAGGATTTTAAATGTACACACCACATCCAAGTTCATAGGTGGGTGTTGGGAGTCAAACTGAAGTCTTGCTACTAAGATATCTCCCTAATCCCTAGAGTCTCTTGCTTGGTTTTGTCAGCTTTTGCATTTTTTTTTTTTTTAACCAATTGAAAAGTACATTCCCTTAATTTCTACTACATGTGAGCATTATATCTTCTTTTATGAATTGGGTCTTTCTTGTTGGGGTTTTTTTTATATATGTTTGTATATGTTTTATATTTCTGTGTATTGTAGATATATTGATGTTTCCTTTATTCAGGTGTTCTGTCCTTTGGTTTATCTTTCCAGCACATGCTTTGCTGTGCAGCAGTTGTATACTGTAATTGTGTTTGTCATCTGTACATTCATGGCAGGGATTTTTACATAGTTTTAATAGCTGCATGCTCTAAGAGATAACTGTTTTCCCCCCCAAAAAAGTTTGCCTTGTTTTTTAGTGTTAGTCTGATCCACCTATACTTTCTTTTTGTGTATGACATGAGATACGGAATAAGTTTCCATGAAAATATACTAGTGACATGAGCCAACATTACTATTGTATAGCCCATCTTCCCTACCTATTGCTAATGCCACTTTGTCATTTGTTTGAATTGCTCACCATGCATAGCCTCTCCTACATTGCCAAGGCCTCATATGTGTGTGTGTGTGTGTGTGTGTGTATATACATATATATATATATACATATATATATATATCACGGGGGGGGGGGTAGGGGACTTCTGTGCTGGGATTAGACTCTTAAGGTGGAGAAATCAGTGAGTGCCCCAGGAAAGCTGGTAGACCTGGCACTTCAGAGGCATTGAGGGCACAGATTAGACTTGTCTGTGGCATCCAGGGGATCTCTGGTGGATGTAGCTGTTCAGGACTGAGGCTATGCATGACCTTTTAGCTGCAGCCTTGTGGCTAAGAGTCTCAGTCAGATGCTGCACTTTCCCCCCTCCCTGTTCCTGTTCCCAACTGTACTTCCTAGAGATCTTTCAGCTGATGCTTTTAAAACCCTGGTCCTCCTAAGAAGCCTTACTCCATCAGGAAAACTAGGGCCTGCCAGCAGGAGGATTATTGGGAGGCACCATCTTCATTTGGAGGCTGTTTTCCATCTTATTTCATAGGGCCCGCCTGCCCGTCTTCCTGCCTTCCTGCCTTCCTGCCCGCCTGCCTGCCCTCTCTTCTTTTTTTCTTTTTTTAAACTTTTAACTTAAGGCCTATTTTTTCCTCTTTATTTTGTACTGAATTAAATCAGAAGTAGAATCCTATATTTAAATATCATTGTTCTTTTGAAGAAAAGCTTCAATTTAAAAATGCTTGTTTAAACTGCAGGGCGTATCTGTCAGCTGCCCTGCTTCTGCTTGAGTATAGATAACATGACTTCTTTGGGTGTCAGAATGCATTACCATGTTCCAGATGTAGCTGTGTATTTTGGAGTCTAGACAAGTGGGACCACATTAATGAGAAGATGGCCTCTGTAGAGGTCATTAAGGCTGTATGGAACCCCTGCTGCTTGTGTAGTGTTTGGAAAAGAAGTAGTAAAAGAGACAGCGAATGAGAAGAGAAAGCTCAAAGTCTGTTTCTTTTCAAATTGGGAATGTCTTCATTTGCTTTGCAGACAATAGAAGTACTACATAGTCACAGAAGGTCCAGCAGTGTCTGACAGTGCAGAACAGCCCTGCTCGTGTGCAGTCTATGCCCATGAGGTCTGGTGTAGCCATCAGCCACATGTATCAGCACTTGGGATGTCACAACATAGCTGTGGAACTTGTTTGTCTTCAATGTCACTGTAACATATCATCATAGCTGGGTGTGATGGCACATGTCTGTGGCAGAAGCAAAGGATCTCTATGGTGGCAGAAGCAAAGGATCTCTATGAGTTCAAGGCTAGTCGGTCTATATAGTGATTTCCAGGATAGCCAGGACTAAATAGCAGTATCCCATCTCAAAACAGTGGTGGTGGTGGTGGTGGTGGTGGTGGTGGTGGTGGTGGTGGTGGTGGTGGTGATGATGATGATGATGATGATGTTGATGTGGATAAAAGGGAAGAGCAACAACTAAGATCCCCCAGATAGCTCAGCTCTCACACCCAGGTGTGCTTCAGGACGCACTGCCTCTGTACCTGCTCCTTCTCTTGCTGCACCATGTCTGTTTCTTTGGCATGCAGCTTGCTATGCACACACCCTCTCCTGCCCTTGTCTTTCCCTTACTTTCTCCATGTTCTTGTTATGTAGACAGTAGTCTGTTCTGTTCACACATCAATTGTTTTCTTTAGTTAAGCCATATTAAAGCCATTTTTAAAAGTACCCAAGGATCTGTTTGTCTCTTTTGGTCAATTGTGTTATTTCAGTGGGGTGTGTTCACCAATATTGGTTTTAACCATCTGGTTGTTTCAGTTTGTCTCTTAATGTTTTTAAGCAGCATGTTTTCCTGTTTCATGTTTTGCCCATATGCCATGTCATTTGTTCAAAACTGGGGACTCTGTCTTTGCATTTTTATTTTGGTAGCTGTTAGGATTTCTGTGTCAGAATGCCTTTGATTGTTTTGTTTTTGTTTTTCAAGACAGGGTTTCTCTGTGGCTTTGGAAGCTGTCCTGGAACTAGCTCTTATAAAGCAGGCTGGCTTTGAACTCACAGAGATCTGCCTGCCTCTGCCTCCCAAGTGCTGGCATTAAAGGTGTGCACCACCACTGCCCAGCCTTTGAGGACTTTGTCACTGCTGGACAACTTCCTAGTGTTCTTTTGACTGCTGTCCAGTGTACAAGGGAGGAGCTCAAGTATCAAACTGCTGTGGCTATTTACTTATGAACCCAGGCAGCTGCGTTAGTCTTGCTTGAGGCCTCAATGGCAAGGTGGATGTAAGGGTAGACTCCTCTGAGAGCTTGCTTCCTTGATAGTTCCATTGATACTGAACCCATTCTGCTCCAGATTCCTTCTGGCTTTAAAAGGAAATGGAATTCTAACTCTTGGTTTAATGGCCACCCACCCTGGCTAAGAAAGAGTCATGCCAGGCAAGGGAGCAGATAGGAGGTGCTCTGAGTGTAGAACACATCTTTGGAAGTGGTGATGGCTACCTGGCAGAATTATTCTCTAGCCAACACCTCAGTTTTATCTAGTTATTAATTTTTACAATGTCCTCTGTAATTTTTCCAAAAATACCCCGTTTCCAGTCTTCTGATAAAGAGTGTTTTCCTTTTTTAAAATGATAAAATAATAAATTGCTTAGTGCACTTGGCTGCCATAGCAGCCCCTTGTCCTTGGGGAAAGGGTTCTGCAATTAGGTCCATGGCAGAAGGGTCATAATATGCTAAGGCCATTTACAAGTCATGATTAAAGTTTTTAAATGTTTAAGTGAAAATCTTTTCCTTAAGGACTCTGACGTATTTATAGGAAATGCTGCTTGAAAACAGGATTTATTAACATAATCTGCTTTCAGGGACTCAATTCACACCCTGTCACCCTATAGAGGGGCAGCACTGACAGTGTAATGAGAAGTAAGTACATGGAATGAGGTTTACTATACTGGTTGAATGAAATGAAAATTCGATGAAAAGTCTGAACCTGAGTTTTTTCAAGTAGCTTGAGGGACACCTTGCTAAAACCTGTATTTGCTTTTCCTTAAGAAGAAGAAGAAGAAGAAAAAAAAATCTTAGTTTAGCCACATAGCCATGTTATGTTGCTGAATATCTTAACATCTAAATGCTTGTTACACCCTGAAGGTTGGAAAAATTATGCAAAAGTAACTAATTCCAGCTTCTGTTATTTTTAGAAATAAGCTGTATCCTAGGGTGAATATCACTATGCTAAACATAGAATCAAGCTGTCTTCTAAATAGATCTGTGTCCATAGATTACCAAAGTTCTAAACCTCACCAGAGAAGTTTCTATGTGGACTGTGCTTAACATAGAAACTCACAGCTTATCAAAGTGTAAAAAATAAGTATCTGTAATATGCTTAGCCCCAGATTAGATCTCTATATTATCCACCTACCCCAGGCTTAGGGACCATCTCAGAAGAGAGACTGGAAAGATTGCAAGAGCCAGAGATCAGGGAGAACTGGCTTGA